CAGAGAGTGGGAAGGGCCGCACATTAGGGACCTTTGTCCAAGTGAGAATGACAGGTTCTAACCCAGGAAACAGACTAAAATGGAGCTTCACTTGCCTGCAGAAGAGGGTTGGTGACCTGGTGGCTGCAAGTGGGAGACTCAGATCTAAAAATCAGACACCCCATCCCCACCCAACCTTCTGTCTCTCTGAACCCCTGGGCCAACAATGCATTGTGCCCTGCAAAAGCCTCGGAGGACGGAGCCACTGTCCCAGGGTCACAGTATGCTCACGTGCTCATGCACAGGGCTTTTTTAGTGCCCAGAGGGTGAGGGTGCAGGGCAATGTGGGTGTGGATTGCATGTGAAGTGTTTGAGCTGAGGAAAGGGCTCCACAGCAGGCCTGTTCGCAGTGGCAAGCAGCCAAATGACAACTCTGCAGTGGAGGGCAAGAGCTAGGAGTGGGAGCACTGGGATATACGGCTTGACCAGTCACTATGGTGGGACGTGGGCGGGGACCTGGGACACCTGCCACGTGGAGCCCCTCACCAGCCATCCTGGGATCCCTGTAGGGCGTCATTCTGTGCTTCACCACGGACCCTGCATGTCTGATTGGAAACCAGATCCGTTCTCTGGAGAGCTGGGACCCTACATGGGGACACGTAGAAATTTCCCTTCCATGCCTGCATTTAAAGCCATCTGGCACTTTCCTGTTCACTGGGTCTGGAACTGAGTCCTTGCCCTGGGTGGGGACATAGTATGAAAATAGGAAAGGAGGGGCTCTTTTAGAAGGCCCCTTGGTAGTGTGGACTCTTCCTGCCCTCAGTGGAAGTGACAGGTTGCCTTCTTGTCACCTTGATCACCAGGCCCTGACTGGCAGACTTCCAGAAGTTGCTTCCTGTTCACCTATTTCCTAACTTGTAAGCTGGGAAGCTGCTGAGAGGAGAGCATCCGCGTGAGGTGAGGCATGCTGGGATTTCTCTGCGCCACCCCGTGTCCTGTGCCAATCTGTTGGGGGCCTGTGTGGGTGGAGGTGGCTGAAGTAGAGAGGGGAGGACACCGGTGCCCGGCCTGCGCTGGGGTTCGCGATGCAAAGGGGGGTGGGATGAAGGGCAGAGGGCGAGCCCCTGCTGCACTGAAAATGTCTGGTATCACCCAGCGCATCCCCTAGGCTTTAGAAAGTAAAAATTCCTCTCGAGCATTTTCTGCTTAATAGGTAACAAGTGGACACCCCTGAGTGGCGTGGTCCTAGTGGCCTCGGGACAGATGTGGATGAGAGAATGGGCATTTTACCACCCTTTTCTTGCTGGACACTGAAGTTTTCAAGAGATTTGAAAAGTGCCAGCTTTATGGTTGCTGAATGTTTAACTTCCTCTGCAGCCTTAGCTGAGGGCCTCCAGGTAATGGGTGGTCACTGTGGTTGAACTCACTGTGGACATTGCTGACAATAACGTCCGAGGTGTCCTCTAGTCCATCTCCTGGGACAGGTCACCTCGCCTCTAGTTGACTGTCTCCGGGGCTGTGCACGCCCTACCTTGCCGGGGAGCATTCCACTGTTGGGAAACAGCTAAAACCTACCTCCTCCTACCCGCGGTCCAATCTGCTTCCCACCTTGAAGGAAGCAGCACAAGCCTGGAACACGCACCAGCTCTCCAGGGACTGCGACATCTCTCCCGCACCCTAACCTGCACCTTTCAAAGTAAAACATTCCCAGTTTCCTCAACCATCGTGTGAGGGGGCTCCTAACCATCCCCACCATGCTGAGCTCCTTTCCTCTGCACAATTTCCCATTTACTGACGTTATTTTTAAAGCAAGATCCCTGGCCCAAGGAGCGCCGGTCCAGGGGAGCTCGTTTTTACAGGTGATCTGGATGCTACCGTTCTT